TAAACCAAAGCCAAGGTGAAAAGCGCAGAGACATGGGATAAATTTGTGGAGGAACGGGGTTACCTTATCTGGGAAAGAGCGTGGGGTAGTGATGGGTGTGAGAGATATGGACCAGTTTCTCGAACGATGGGAGATGGATGTGCCGGGCGTGCGCCGGCGGATGATTCTGGCGCCGGTGCCCGGGAGCGGGAACGGTGGTACGCTCTGTGGCTTCTGACCCAAGGCTGGACCGCTCAGGCTACCGCCGAGGCACTGGAACGGGACCCCCACACCATTGGACGGTGGTTGGCCGCCTTCGGCGAGGGTGGGCCCACAGCCTTGATATTCGAGCAGTCCGGTGGTGCCCCCCCGCCCTCGAAGCGGCGCAGCAGGCGGCGCTGAAAGGGGCGGTGCAGGAGTTGCCCGCCAACTCAGGCATGGAACTGGCCAACTGGAACTGGAAAGTGGTCTGCCAGTACGTCTCCGAGCGCTTCGGTATCAGCCTGAGCCGCAGCACCTGCCTCAACTATCTGCGCCGGCTGGGATTCTCCTTCAAACGCCCCAAGAAACGGCTGCTCAAGGCTGATGTGGAGAAACGGGAGGTCTTCGTGGCGGAGTACGCCGCCCTGTCGGACGAGGCGCGGTGGTCTGGGGCCAAGATATTCTTCGCTGACGAGGCCCACTTTCGTGCGGACGCCGAACTGCGGGGCAAGTGGGTGTTGCGTGGAGAGCCGGCCTTGGTGGACTCGAGCAGCCCGCGCTATGGCGAAAAGGCCAGCTACTATTCGGCGGTGTGCCTGGAGACCGGCGAGGTGGAATGGATGGAACTGGAGGGGAACAGCAACTCAGGAACATCGGCAGCCTTCCTGGGACAGTTGCGGGAGAGGCACAGCGGTCGTCTGAACGTGATCTGGGACAACGCGCCGGCCCACCGGGGCGAGGCGGTGAGGGAGTACCTGCGGACGCCGGGTCTGAACCTGCGGCTGTTTAACCTGCCGGGTTACAGTCCGGACTTCAATGCCGATGAGGCAGTCTGGGGCTGGGCTAGGGAGGAGGCGACCGGGAACCTATGCTTGGGGACCAAGGTCAAGGTGCAGGAGCGGGTCGGCAGCTTCCTCGTTGGTCTGGCCAACCGGAAAGAGGAGGTAAAACGCCGCTGCCGCACCGTCTTGCAATCAAGGGCCAGCGCCCTGCCGCGGGACTCCCACTCCAACTCTCAACACCCCGGACATGCACATCCCACCTTGGCTTTGGTTTAGTTGATCTGCACCACCGACCCGTCCGCCTCAATTCTCAGGCCAACGATGGGTCCGACCTTGTTGTTGAACGTATCGGCAATGATGGGATGGCTGGCATCGCCCACGCGGTTCACCCAGGCTGGCACTACGTGCTCCATCACCGCTGTGTTCAGGCTGCGGAAATTCATCTCGTCGGAGAAGGGGACGAACTCCATTGCATCCAGTCCCGCCCCGCGGGGGTCATCTGACGTGTTTTTGAGCAGCCCCATCTCGTTCTGGATCGCAGATAACCGCAGTGCCTCAAGCTCCGACTTTGCTGCCTCCTCCAGGATGATATCCTGGAGATTTTCCGGGATTTCGTTCCACAGGTCACCGTTGATCACGTTGTTTGTAGAGGGGAAGCTCACCAGGGGGCCGATAATGTAGTCGGTAACCTCGTACCACCGCTGCCCGTATCCGGCATCTCCTCCGGTCACGCCGCAATCCAAGATGCCGCGCTCGATGGCCGTATACACCTCGGCGAAAGCCACGAACTGTGCATCGGCTCCCATGCCTTCAATCCAATCCGACAGCGCCGCGCTGTGGCTGCGGGTCTTTTTCCCCGCGAATCCGTCAATGCTGTCGACCTTTTCCCGGCAGAAGAAGAACTGGTCGTTGCCGGCGAACCAGTTGTGGTTCATGATCACTCCGCCGGTATCCTCCAGGACCAGTTCCTCGATGTCCTTGATAATGGCCTGCGTGGCTTGAAATTCCTGTTCGCGACTGGAATAGATGCCCCACAGGTTCTGAATCTCGATGGGAGGCAACTCTCCACCGACATAGCCACCGTAGATGTTGGCTGAGTCCAGTGTCCTTTGGGAAACGAGGCTCAGGGTATCGGGGCCTGCCAGGCCCAACTCGGGGAAGGAACTCGCGATGAATTCCACCTGACCATCCGTCCGGTCGCGAAGGTTCAGCGTGAAGTACGTCTCCAGCAGCTGGCAGGGCAGCAGCGCCCGGTTGATACAGGCGTGCTGAATCGTAATAGATTCACCGGAGACCTCCAAGGGCGTCGGGTTGGTCAGGTTCGCCTTCTCCAGCAGTTCCTGGTAGATGTCACTGTCGTATATCCACAGGTGGCGCTGCAAGGATTCCAGGGTGACATTTCCGTCGAAGTCGCCCTGACTGGTCGAGGGTGCGGGGCCGACGAGTTGGTTGATGTCGCCGACATATATCGCGCCAGGTCCGTTGGCGTGTTGGGCCGCGTACTCGACCAGCGCGGGATCCACCGCAGGAGCGGGTGTGGCTGTTGATTCTTCCTGCTCCTCTTCGCCCTCCTCCTCCATCGTTGCGTCGGCTTCAGGGGTTTCCTGCTCCTCCTCCATCATTGCCTCGGCTTCAGGGGTTTCCTGCTCCTGAGCTTCCGGCTCCGGGGCCGCCTCTGTGGCGGTCGTGGCTTGGGATGTTTCAGACGTGGTCTCGCTCGTTTCCTCCTCGGTCTGCTCTGCGGCTCCTCCGCAAGCAACCAGGAGTCCAAACAACAGTATAAAAGCTATGACTAGAAATAACGGGCGACGCATGTTGGTCATCCTCCTCTGCACTGTTGTGGGTTTCTAAGTGGCCAAACAAGACGTGGCTCGTTAGAGGGCTCTTGGGGTTCTGATCCTTTTCGGGCGGACCAATGCCTTAATGTGGAATATCTGGTTCGACCTCTTGTCCGGCCAGTTGTTTCGGCCCTCTGGAATTGCGCTCCACTAACTCATTCGCATCGCACTCTTGGTGTACGGCGGTCGTGATTCTTGTACCGTTTGCGAAAATCATTGGCCCATGCCGCGAGGGTGGCCGAATATAGCACGTAATAGTACTACAACGACGACGCGTTTAAGGTGGTGGCTCCATCCTCGCCTTCACGGCGGGCGGAGCGGCGTCTCTGGGTGGGAGCGGCGCTGCCCGCTCGTTGCGTAGCATGCGTATCTCCAGCCACAGCAGCACTCCTCCGGTCCGAACCGTTCCCGGGCAGCATTTCCCGCACCACCCGGTACACCTGGGGGACGGGTGATCCGGGCATCTTTTCCCCCAGTCCTGCTGCAGGCCAGCAGGAACGCTCCACCCAGCAGGCACATGGCTATGTGGTGATGCCAGCCGGACACAGTACGGGTCTCGTATTCGTCCAGGCCACGTCGCCCTTTCCGTCTCGAACTCCGTTTCAATGGGCCACCTGGAACCGCCCACATAGGCCAAGGTCTCCCAGGGGAGTATCATCGGCAGCGTTGGACAGGTAGTAGCGAGGCTCGCTGCCGTCCAGGTTTCGGCGGTAGACGGCCCAGTGCCTCCTGGCCCGGCTTGCCCTTCCGGGTTACCGCACCCGCTGGGCGCTGAACATATAGCTACGCGGTCCCTGGCTTCCCTGGGCCACCGTATCTCCCGCCAAGCCTTATTCCGGCAACTCGCCACTCGCCATGCGCTGCTCCATGGTACGACGCTGCCCGTCCTGAGCCTGGGCTTGCGGGGCGCCCGGACCCTGAGACCCCGGACTGGTCAAAGCCAACTCCAGGGGCCAGACCGGAGGCTGCCCGGAACGTCAGCACGTAGCGCATCCCAGGCCCGCCAGGGACTCCGAAAGGACGGCGACATCCCGAAGGCGTCGTACCACCGGCAACCCATCCGGCCTTGAGGTGGCCCAAACCCCAGGGCACCGCTCCAGCAGCTCCAAGCCAACTCCGTCTTCGACCGTAGCTCAGCGCTCATCGGGCAACCCGCCGCCGCCGCAAACGTCCTGGTCGGAGATCACTCTCGGGCAGATACAGCCCCTTGTCCCACAATGCTGTCCCAGCGCGCTGACGTAGGCAGGAACATCCCGCTGGCAGTTGGCACCTTCCCACGACTGTCCCAGTGCTGCGGGCTAACTCCCCCACCACGATCTGTCCGTCCCTCTTGGGAAAGTCCGCTGCCGTCCAACACCCACACCGCCTCGGGGTGAGCCAGCCTGGGGGCAGGTATCCTGCAGCCGACCGATGACCAGCGGCATGTCCCACAGGGCCTCGGTCAAAAACGCTGCATCGCCGGCCGAGATGCCCACCGATTCGACAGGTTCTCGGCGTGCGCCGCTCCCCGCCTGCACCAGCAGCCCCTGAAGATAGTTCCGGCTGTGCTCCCGCCACTGCTGCGCGAAGGAGGCCGCGAGAAGGCGTGAAAGTCGAAAGTTGTCGTAAAACCCGCTCGAAACTCGCCCCATCCATCACCCAACCACCCACTATCATC